GTCACATGAACTGCTGGAAGGCCCGCTGCGCCTCGCCGCCGCGGGCTTCCGGCCTCGCCTCGCCCATCGCCACTCCGCCCAGGGACGCGCTCGTCAGCGGCGGCGGCGGCGGCGGCGAAGGGGCGCTGCGGCCGCCAGCCGCGACCCCGGGGGCGGAGGCCGCCAGCGCCGCGGGCGTGAGCGCGGAGGAGTGGTGGTGGAGCGACGAGTGGTGGGCGGCCAGCAGGAGCGCCGGGTGCGCCTCGTAGCGGATGTCGGCGGCCAGCAGGGGGCGGTGCAACATGCTCTTGTGCTTGATGAGCGCACCGCGGTTCTTGCACCACTTCCCGCACAGCTCGCACGGCAACGACCCGGGTTCCACGTGTTTGTCGCGCTCGTGCCGCTTGCGGCTCCCGACCGTGGAAAACACTTTGCCACAAAAGCCGCAGCTGCGGCAACACTCACATGTACAGTGACTCGGGTGCGGCTCCCAGCCCGCGCCGGTCTTGGGCTCTGCAAAAGAGAGAACAACTCTTACGCCCTCGCCTGCAGTGCTGGCCACGCCCGCCCACAGGCCAGCGGGGCATCGCCCACCCGCCCACCTACACACCACCACCACCACCAGCCTGCTCACCGCTCTAACCTCCACCACTACTGCTGTTCCTCCACCACCTGTGCGCCCTGTGCTCGCTCCTGCAAGGCCCGCCCTCCGCAGCCCTGCCCTGCCGTGCCCGGCCTTCCCGGTCCTCCTCGCCTCTCTTCTCCTTTCTCTCCCTCTTCCTCCTTCCCTCTGCACCTGCACCTTCTACTTCCTCAACCTTAAGCTGGCAATACTCCCATTCTTACTGAAGCGTTGCAACTATGCAGACCTCGCCTTGCGTCTATCAACAACGTTATGGGTGGACTGAGCTCGTCTGTGTGTGTGTGTTGTGTTGTGGTGTGTGTGGTGTGTGTGTGTGTGTGTGTGTGTGTGTGTGTGTGTGTGTGTGTGTGTGTGTGTGTGTGTGTGTGTGTGTGCGCGTGCGCGCGCGCGTGCGTGTGCAGCTGGGGATGCATATTCGTGTACGTGAAACTGAGCATGTGTGTGCATATGCATCTACAGGTGCATGTACATGTGCGTGTCGTGAAATGTACACACAGAATCCTCCATCACTCAAGAAAGGAGCATACGTTTGAAAGGACAGAACATGGCGCCCGCCCTGCACGGCCTCCATCCCAGACCACTAAAAAACCTCGACCCTCAACAAGCCGACAAGACCAGACTCCAGCACCTCGACGCGGCTGCGGCGGTACTCCTCTGCGGCTTCGAGTCCTTTGCCCTCTCGGAGTTTCTCTTGCGAGGAGCGACAGTAAAAACAGGAAAACGACAACAATCACCATTCCTTTCCAAACACATCGTTGCAACATGCGCGCAATGCAATGCAATACGGGGCGGAGTCACTCGTGCAGCGTCCAAGATGCAATGACCAACAACTGGAATTTCCACCAGCCTTTGACGACGTGCTTCCTCGCTGCGATTTCAAACGCGTCGCGATGCCAGGAAGAGAGAGAGAGGGGAGGAGAGAGAGAGGGGAGAGAGGAGGAGAGAGAGAGAGGGAGGAGAGGGGGAGGGGGAAGGGAGGGAGCAAAAGAGGAGGGAGGAAGATGATAAAGAGGGTGGGAAAAAGGAGAGTGGAGGAAGAGTACACGGAGAGTGTGAAGGAGGTGGGGGAGAAAAAGGGGAAGATGGAGGAAGGAGAAGGGAGAGGGGAGGAGGAGGAGGAGAGGAGGAGGAGGAGGAGGAGGAGGAGGAGGAGGAGAGGAGAAGAAGAAGAAGAAGAAGGAGGAGAAGAAGAGTATGATGATGATCAAGAAGCAGAAGAAGGGGAGGAGGGAGAGGGGAGGACGGAGGAGGAGACACCGGGCCAAACAGCAACGTCACCTTATCTGCCTTAGGTGACGAGTTCTAACCTTGTCTTCCAGAGCATCTGATAAAACTGGGAGAAGAAGACAGAGAGAGAGAGAAAGACACAGAAAGAGAAGAGAAAGGGTGGTTGAGAACAGAGAGAGAGAGAGAGAGAGAGAGAGAGAGAGAGAGAGAGAGAGAGAGAGAGAGAGAGAGAGAGAGAGAGAGAGAGAGAGAGAGAGAGAGAGAGAGAGAGAGGCATGAATAAATTGATAGATAGAAAGAGATAGAATAGATATCGGATTTCAAATGTTGAGCAGTAATGCATCTTTGAATGTACTGATAGGAAGGAAAAAAACACACGCAAAATCACACATACACACACGCGGGTGCGCTAACCATACAGCACAAAAAACACACTATATTTTCTGTCAATTATGTATAACAAATAAAGTACCTATGTACAAATCGAATTACATTTCTACGGAGAAGTGTTCATTTCAAGGCAGTACTTTTCACCTAACTCTCATACCGTGAACAACTAGGCTTGTGAATTTTCCTTCGTGTTCCAACATCGCTTTATCAACAAATATCATTCTGTGCAGTATATGTGCAATGGACGCCAAAGATTCCATG